AAAATTCCATTCGAAATTTTGCCCGGACGCTGCCTTTGAGCTCAGTCATGAAAGCAAGAGCGTTATTAAGGATCAAACAGTTTGCACATCTTTTTGGGAACCCTGTAGAATTGTGCCGCAGTATCATCTGAACGATTGACATAGATCATTGCTTCACCGCTGATCTAGCGCCAAGATTCATTTCTAAGCGACAGCAGGAAAGACCATACTTGATTTGACGCAATTGAGAAAGAAATTTACTCATTTTTACATTTTCTGTCATAAGTTTCCATTGATTCAGGTAGAGCTGATGATCATCCGAAATCAGTGAGTCAGCTAGGCCCAACCCGAACAACTGCACCCCGCAAAACACAGGCGGAGACTCAGAGGAAGCTTGCTCATCCACCTCGAAGGCAGCGTCCGAGCAAAACATTGATTGGAGAAATCTTCGTTCCTGACTTCTTCCTTCTAGTTGATTCCGAAAATGCACTTGGAGAGCACAAACATGTCGAAAACGGGCTTTTTCTGAAATTCTTGCTGGATTTTGCTGGCCTCACTAATTCATCATTTTTCTCTATCAAGTTCCGTTACATCAAGTCGTTGATGTACGTAGGGGTGCTCATTTGCCAAAGAGTAGGAAGACCTCTGGAGACAATTGATCTATCGACAAATCTCCACTCTAGAGAACCGCTACGCGTGTACGCCGGTAGTGATCCGCCTTCTCTATGGCAAGCGAGCAAACGATAGAGGTTCTGCTACTCGCGCAGTGACTTATGCAGTTCGTTCAGTTCGCTACGTTCGAGTCGATGATATCCTGTGTATTGTTATTCCACGATAAAAGTTTATTCACTAATTGTTTGAGATGAAAAGCGGTTGCGGCCATCTTTACTGAAGATTTTGTGGCGCAGCCATGTTAGCTTCATCCATTTTTAGTTCAGAGCGTGTTTGGGGCCTGAGGAAAGGTTTTGGAAGCATCCCAAAAAAAACGTAGCGACGGACGACTTCCTTGCAGAGGAGAATCAGGACTGGTTGCCTTGAAAGGTAGGCACGATCCTATACTTGGTTTTTTCTTCCTTTTGCACTCCATCTTTTTCGACTCGTTAACATAGGTGCATGTCTTAATTTTCGCAAAGTGATAGAGAAAAAAATATTATTAAAAGGTTCTTTTTTGCGATAATAATTACTTTGGGGAAGCGCGAAGTTTGGTAGATTGGTAGGGATTTGGATTTATTGGCTGCCATCGTCGTATCAACCCTCTACCCAGCCAGCAGTCGCCGCAGCTCACAGTAATATTCTTGGATCGTGGACCCACACAAGGTCTAGAGAAAACAGTCAAAAGTGGAACTTTGCATGTATCATCTTCGGCTTTGTTTCTGCGCAACTTTCTTCATTATTTTTCTTTTTTCTCTGACACTTCTGTTAATTTCTTCGGCATTTTGATAAAATTTGTCAAATTCTAAATCTCCTCGCTAATTTTGTGATGCTCTATCAGCATAATTATGTTTAATCCTCTTTGCGACATGTGCGCAAAGGTTTCTGGTCAGCTCAGACATCAAGTTCGTTGCGCCCAGCTTACACCTTTTCAACACTTCATGTTCTTCTACTTCCGGTTTTCGTGAATGATAATTTTTGTATCTGAAAAGTCAACATATAGAACATAATATTCATATATCACAATTTTTCTCAACGGTGTGGAATGGAATAATGTAAAGCTCAGATGTTTCGTGCCTATGCGGATCAGAGCAATGAAGACAGAGAAGAAGGAGAGTGCGAAGACGATGACCGATATTCGTCGTTCGATCAGCAAAAAATACTGGAAGCTCGCAATAGGGTGAGTCAGTAATACAGTCCATTTATGTAGCTCTTCTGCGTTTCAAAAGGCGATTAGGATATATCCCGCCTCTCTCGTGTGAAGATGGCTGTCAGGTTTGTCTTCGCACAGCGTTTGAGAACGACCATAGTCAGTGTAGTTCAGGTGCATATGGACGTAGATGGGCAGCATTTGCTGTGCCAGTCGTTTTTCACAAGCCCGCTCACTTCAAAGAGGCTTCAAAGAAGTGGCCTTTAGAGATTTACAAAACTGTGAAGCACATTTTGAGTTCATTATGTCCTAGAGTTTTAAGTATGCCCTAAAGTTTGAATTTTAATTATTAAAGCCTGCCCTAGCAGCATCTTGCAAATCGAGCATCGTTGGTCTTAAAATTGACTTGTCTCCAGTATTCGGATTCATGTTTGTATATTTGCAGCGTGAAAGTATCGCGAGAGCGCAGCATCTGGTCGAAAGGGAGAAGAATTTGAATGCATTGAGGTACATCAACAGCGACTCGGATGACGACGAAGTCCAGATTGTTGTACGTTGAACCTTTTATTTAGTTTTTGCTACTTCTCGCTTTTCCAAGAAGCCCGGGTCCCATCTATTCCAAATGTGTCAAGGGGGAGTTTTAGAGAAACATGGGACTGAGATTTGTTAACGTCATGTGAATGGAAAAGGTCTT